TTCCCTACAGCTTCATAAATATTCCAGAATAAATCAGTGTGTTAAAAAAATTAAATGGAGAAATTCAGAAGCTTAGAGCTAAGACTTTCCCAAGAGGAAGACTTTTGGAAAGAAAGATGAGCCCAAATCTCTTGCCTCACCCTGGCAAATTGGCTGCTGTTACTTATTTTACCTAGACTGTGCCTGGGTCCTACTTGCATGGGCAGCCATATAAAAGGCCCTGTGGCAGACTGGGGAGAGCGATAAAAAAATCAAAGTCAAGGAGATCTTGTTTTATTTTCTTGCTATCATTTTCATCAGACTGAAGACCTTGTGTCAGTGTCTTTATCCCAGCTCACTGGAGGTTCTGCCCTATTATGTATTATTTAATTGGCAGTGGAAAAAAACATGATTTGGCTTTCTCCCTCTGTTTCTGAGTGAGAAAGTCAGTGAGAAAGGCAGCTGTAACTTGAGCCGAACATAGAAGAGGTTACTTGCAAACCTGCTTTTGAAGATCAGTAATGAGTTGTCTTTGCTGGAAGCCAAAAGCAGAGACTCACAGTTGGAAGAAAAGGTCAACAACCTCACATTTATTTACTTTCTCATGCTTTTGAGTGCGAGCATTCCTGTAATTGCTTATGTATCCATAACTTAAATGTAGTCAACTTTGCCTCAGCTGTTGTTTTGGACTGGGTCTCTGTGTTATCACTGGTACTCTGTGTTATCACTACTCATCTTGGAGGGTGTGAAAAAACAGAGGCTAAGAAAAGAAGCAAAGCAGTAGGAAGTGAGTTTTCCAAGTAAGGTGGGCAAAATTACCTCCTCTTGTTTGTGTGGGCCAGTTTATACCTGTTTGTACTTTATTTAGCTGTAGTCTCAACTTGGAACAAAAATAACCAGAATGACAGGATGTGACTACATACCTGCCCCATAAAAATGTAGTATAATTATGCATGTGACTTCTTAACGTTGAAGATGAAAGAAAGCAGCATGCAGAATTAGTTGGTGCATCCTGTTTCACTCAGCTAGCCGTTGAGATGCTGAGGTGATGGGCTCCAAGGACATGAGCGGTGCAGAGGTCTGCCTTTGAACACAGGGGCGTTGCGCTCCTAAGAGGAGAAAAGATGATTTTCCTGATTGGGCAGTGCCAGTGCACGGGAGAAGAAAGCTCCTGAAATGCCCCGAAGCACTTATATCCGTGTGTACATAGAAGACATAGAAATGTACATAGAAGACCATAGAAAGATGGTATTTAGCTGCTTATTTCTTAAATCGCATTGTTTTAATGCTGACAGAAGTCCCTTTGTGCCCCGAAGTATGACATTTTGATTGCCTTCAGCATGCCAGCGTCAGCAGCGGGCAGGATTTGACCACCCAAAGTGGAGGGAGTCAGTAGACTTTTATCGTGATGATACGGGAGGGTGCCAGAGCTGAGCAACGCTGCACGGGGATGTGCAAGCTCTGAGCCAGGAGCACTGCTGGGAAACGCTGGGACAGCCCCTTCCCCTGCCCGGGGCTGCTGCTGCTTTGGGCACTCCCCAGCTCGTGCTTTGGTATACTGAGGAAGCGGGAACGTCTTCAGCTCTCCCGGCAAGAGGTGGCAGAGCTCTCAGGCAAACTCTTGAAGGTAGCAAAGGCCCCTTACTCCACTCCTCCGACCCGACCGCCGGGATGCCGCCGGCTCTGAGCCCGACCGGCGTTGCGCTGGGCTTCCCAGGGACGCTGCAGACCGCACGTGCGAGAGCAGCCCCGAGGCTGCAGGAGGGTGGCACCGGAATGGAGGCTGGTCATAGTCCCAGTTTCACAGGGTAACTGTAAACTGCTTTGGCACGTTAACCTTCCCCCAGTTGATCGGGGCCTAATCTACCATTACTCTTACTGCTAAGTGTCCTTCCCTGGTAAAAACCTGCTTTGGGTAATTCTCAAAGTCTTGAGCAGGAAATTCCACTTCCCTGTTGTTAGATTTTTCCCAAATAAGCTACATGCAGCGGGGACACCAGACCTTTATCGTATTTCAGGGTAAGGGTATGTCTCTGTAAAATAATACGATTGTTTTGGAACTTTGCAAAATTCTTCCGCTGGTCATATTGCCTGAATCTAGAAAAAATTATCTTCTGTTTGCTTGGAGAAACCCTAGAGTGTCTGTCAGTTAAGATCGCGTTTATTATGTTTTTTCCAACTCTGGCCGTATTAAGTTTCCTTCCTAAATCATTGCTTTGCTGGAATCTGGCTGTCGTCACTCCTAGAGTATTATACTGGAAACTGGTGTCTCTTTGATCTCCAGAAGTAAGAGTCAATCTTACTTGTAATATGTTAAAAAGCCTTTCTCCTTAATCTGTTGAGCCATGCTCTCAAAATGAAAAAAAGATTAGCGAGGTTTTTATCAGCTTTTGTGCTTAATTCAGTGCAGAAAGCATACGCAGCATGTAGGGAAGAGGAAGCAACCTGTATGTTTAGGCACTCTGCCATTCTGTGCAGATTTGTGAAAGGAGCTAATGAACGGGTGTTGTAATAACATCAAGCCAACGTCCATCTGTTTTGCACTTTTTGACAGGCTTTCAAAGATGAGACTAGAACTGAAAATGACTGTTAAATGCTGATTACCAGCTTAGGAAGGGTCAGAAATCTGTCTGAAGGGAGATCATGTTGTCCTGTGTTTTCTTAAAAAATTGTGCTTAAAAAAATGGCAATTAGGAGTCTTGTTTGCCTGCTGAAACACCAGTTTGGATCATGTCAGAACCTGGTTGCCACAAGGAGACCGAAGGGCTTTGTAATGGCTTTGTGCTGTGCAGACATTCTTGCCGCACAAATTTGGGAGGGAAACACAGATGATGCTTCGTTGCTGTCGACGTGCCTCCCCAGGCTCTTCACAGGAGGCTGCTCTTCCTTCCAGGCTCCCGGAGGCTTTCCAAACGTTCAGCTCCTTGCGGGAGATGTTCCCGGAGGTCTCTGGGTACTGTTACTGCGCGGACAGCCTGGGGAGAGAGTTAGCAGACACCGGTAAGTACCCTCCAACATCTGATCCTTTAACTTAAGCGGCTTTGAATTCCCACGGGAAAGGGCCAAATAACACCTATCAGTCTTCAGCTTCCTTTGGGACTTCAGTCTTATTCCCACAGGGATAAGACCACTGTGAAGTGTAGTGCCCATGGGAAAGACTGGAGCTCACTGATGAAATCCCACCCTTAGTAGCAGTGCTTCAGTCAGCAGCAAGTGGAGTCGCTGCCCAGGAGCTAATCCTGTCCTTTTTGGGATGGTGGAATAGGATTTCTGCACATCCAAACTCTGCCCACACTAGAAAGCTGTGTCATATTCGATAAGTCCAATTCGTAAATGCAGGGGAATATAAAGGGCCTGGAGAATAACTATTTTCTTCTTGCTCAGGTAGAATCATGGAATGGTTTGGATTGGAAGGGACCTTTAGAGATCATCCAGTCCAACACCCTGTGGACAGGGGCATCAGATGATCTTTCCTTTTCTCTCATTTTTAGGAATGTTAATAGTTGATGGGACACCTTAGAAAAAAGAAAGGTTTTTTTCCAGGAAGGAGGAATGAGGAGGTTGAGGACTTCCAGGTCCTTCCTTAGATATTGTGGGTTTAAAAAAACAAAAACCAAACTCAGGAAAATGCAAAGCATGATAGCTTCAAATTTAGATGGTAAATGAGAACCTCAGCATTTCATTCCCACAAGGGTGAGAAATTCTCCAAATATTTGTGCACTCAGAGTAACTACTGCACATCTTTCATTTACTTAAGGTATACAACCAAGATGATTAGGAATTGGTGTTTGGAAACATCAGTTCCCAAAAACATGAGTTGTTCTACTGCAAACTGAACCTAACAAAACCACAGCACACTGGATGTTCCTCCTGATCGTTTTGGTAGATGACAAGGCAAAAAGCTAATGACTGGGCACTCAGCAGTGGGTTGTATGGTGTGGTGCATTAGGGTAATGCAGTATACGTTCAGATTTGGCCTCTTTAGAAGACTGGTTTTCTTTTTCCTGATAGGCTTCCAATTCTGCTATTCTGGTGTAAAGCAGGTGACTTCAGTCTTAAAACCAGGCTCTGTGCTAAAAGTCTCTCTTTCCCAGGCTTGGAACTGCTGCTCGATGAAGTTTACGACACAGTTTTCTCTGCCCCGGAGCCTGCCCGCACATTCACGGAGACCAGCATATATCGGATCCTGCAGAGGCGGTTTCTGGGGGTTCAGCTAGCTACCTCTGGCAAGTTCAGGTGTAAGTAGCAGCCAGGTGATACCGTGTAAATAAGGTGACAATTTTCAAGCTTATATGTGACAGCTGCCATTGGGTAGAGTTGTTCTAGGAGCCTCTTGCACTAAAAGCATATAGCATCACTGTTTCAGTGCAAGAATCAAGGTCGCTGAGCTGCAGCTGGCTTTGAACCTCTGGATTGTACAGTCTCACCAGCAGATTCTACCTGTCCTCTGACCAGCTCTTTCCCACGCACTTGAAGTTTGCATTAGTTGAAAGCTCTTGAACTGTCCGTACCTCTTGTCCTGAGATTCTGGAGATGGATCTGATGATTTATTACATTAACATCCTGACAAAATGCTCCCTAATTTATGACGGTACACTCAGAAATAGGAAGGATCTTACATTGGCCACAGTGCACTCGATCCCCAGGAGGTTACACAAGAGTTTGTAGTGCCTTAACCAGCAAGACTGAACTTCTGGATCTGCCCTTGGCTCCATTCCCTCCGTGGTTGGGGCAGGCAAATGGGGAGAGTTTCTCTGCCTACGGGCAGTGAACTCTGTGGGACAGGAGGTCAGGTACCTCCTTCTCTCTCCTACACCAGATCCCAAGAGAATTGCCTTGGCTGGGGGGACTTTGAACCCCCTGGTGTGATCCAGTGTTGGGTTGATGGTTGGATTTGATGATCTTAAAAGTCTTTTCCACCTTAATGATTCTGTGATTTTGTGATTCATCCTCCCATCCAAATTCCTCTGACACTGCTGTCTGACCCTCGCTAAGGAGTTTGCATCACCAGAGGTATTAAGCAGATACTGATGTTAAGTCTTCTGGCCACATAATCACACAGTTTTTCTGTTTCTGGGATGAGCTGATAATTCTGGGGAGTCTGGAAAACATCTTCCCCCTTCTCACTGCACAGTGGTGTGCAATAAGTTCTGGCTGCAGCTGGGGATGCAGTAACTATCAGCAAAGATGAAGCTGTAACAGCCACAAGATGGAGATGTGACCACGTTCCTCAGCTGCTGACTCCACCACCTGAAGCCATCCATGCACATCAGGAAAGCTGTCAGGCTTCCTCAACGAACAGCTTGTTCTGATGTGATGCTCATGCTGCCTCAACCTGGTAGCTGAGCGTAGCTGGAAAGCTCTTGAAGGCGAGAAATGTTTAGGCTGTAGGATTGCAGGTTTATATAAACAAGCAAAATTTCTGTTGGAATGGTGGAGTTTAGTATTGGAGAGATCAAATCTCAGAAAATTTGCTTTATAGAGTTTTGGCTTCTCTGCCATTAAGGCTAGTTTGAAAGGAATAGGGTCTTCAGACCCCTGTAGAGGGAAATGAAGGAAACTGGGTGGTCCCAGACCAAATCTTCACAGTCAAGTACAGATCCTTTTGCAGGAGCAATGCCTCGTTCTTTTCAGAAATGTTGATAATTGCCTTCATCTCAGTCTCCCAAGCTACACATCTATCTCTGTTGACCAGATTTGCATTTGCATTAAGGGCCTCCAGCACAAGAGAGATGCTGCTATTCCACCTACCCATGACTATGGCTGGAAAATGTGTTGAGGTTTTATTTTCTGTTTAGTTTTCAGAAATAAATACCTACAGCAGAAAGCCCTGCGGCCAACTCTACAGGGGAAAAGAAGATGGAAAATTTGCATTTTGGGCTGGTACTTGAAGTTTCACCGAAAACAGTCAGGAAATTAAAGATTTTTTTTTTTCTTTTCCCTTCCAAATAGGCAAACAATGGGATCAAGCAGAGATGGCTCTGAAACTTTAAGCTTTCCCTCTTTAACGCATACTGATTTTCTTCACTGTTTTTCCAGGCCCCTCAAAGTGTGAGGTTGAGCGGGACGCAGCCCAGCGTTACCAGCACGCCTACGTGCCGTCTTGTGATACTGATGGGGGCTACACACCAGTGCAGTGTCAGCAGGGAGGACAGTGCTGGTGTGTGGACACCAAAGGGCAAGAGGTTCAGGGCACAAAGAGACGAGGACAGCCCCCGGCCTGCGGTATGTATGAGGTTTGGAAAAGAAAAAAATGAGCACATGTCTCGGTGTCTTTAGAAAGAAACCCAGAGGACCAGTTCCCTTCTTGGCTCTGACAGATTCTGGTCTTCAAAAACTGAGATGCAAAAACCTCCCTGGGGTTAAGAGCCACATTCTAATAAATTATTAAATATCATATTCCTTTCATTTTACTTTGTGACCTTTCTTTAGCCTTTTAGTTTTGCATATGGCAAGGCTTTTCTATGCAGCTGTGGTATCTGTCTCTTGACTCCAGGAGCTGGGGTGTTAAGTCAGAATATCTGGGATAATATAAGGAAGCCAGTGATGGTGGTTTTGGGTTTTACCTCCGTCCTTTGGTGAAATGCTATGGAATTTCTAAGGCATCTCTCATCCTGAGCATTTTTTCCCCATCTCTGTCACCACATATTTGGCTGTGAAAATTGTCAAATCCCATAAAAAACCCCAAACAATTCAGAAAAGGTGTATGAGTTTGGGATTTGAGGGATTTCCTGAAGAGTACACCATCAAATCAGCGCCCCAAATGGAAATGACATTAGAAATGTCAAAGGGCCGCAGGGAAGAGGAAAGTTAAAAACCTTCACTCCGAAGCACACTACCTAAATATCCAGGATTGCGCTGGAGGGCTGGGGGAGCACAAGGTCTTAACGCGGGGCCTGACTTCGGGGCAGGTAATTGCTGTGTCTGCGAGACACAGTCATACCGCGCAGACCGAGAAGGTGGAACCTGCTCGGGGTGTCACGGCTCCAAGTCGCTCAGAGTGCTCTGGGCACAGGCAGCTCTCTGTGAAATGAAAATGTTAGCATGAAAAACCCTGATCACCAAGGGGATTGCAAGGGGACCTCTGAGATGCCTCGCCATGTGTTGGGACTGGTTGCTTTCTCTTTGAATGTGCTTTGCTGAGCTCTCGTGATGATTTTTTTTTGGGGGGGGGGGGGGTGGGGGCGGGTCATGACTTGAAGCTGCTTGCAGCTTTTATTGGCAGACTCAGGAAATTTAAGCAGGTAAAGATTTCTGCAGAGGTTTTGCAGACTAACTCCCAGGAAGGTATTTCATGAGGATATAGCTGCAGCCTGTGTTCAGACAGCTACATGCCACGTGCGTGTCTCCAGTTCTGCTGTTTTATTTCTCCGTAATATCTTCAACTCTCACACTCAGCAGCGTGAACGCTGGAGGAGTCAGAGGCGTAGGCGTGGGTAGCACGTTGCGTACTCGCGTGACCTGGGACACCAGGCAGTCCTGATAGGGACATGCTCCTTTTCAGACCTTTACAGTAAATTCACCCCAGCAGTGCTTTTCTGTTTTTTCCTTCTCACTCTGCTTCGATTTGATGCAAGAGTGGGTGGGAGTGGAGAATGTTTAAAGACTGTGATCTTACATTTGTTTCATATTAGCATACTTGCGGGATTGTGGCTTACACGAACTTATTGGTCCCCAGAGGAATGTTCTTCATCCCTCTTACCAAGAGCCAACACTGCAAACAGAAGGGGCCCATCCTACAGAGAATGCCTTTACAAAGGAACCACTGTGAGGGACCCTGAGCCCCTGTCAGAACCTGTGGAGCAGGACAAGGGTGTGAAAGGAGGAGTGGGAAAGATGCTGACCGCAGAGCCTCAGATTGCTTGCTAATCTATTTTAACAGCTTTTAAGATTTCCAGCTTTAATCCTTACTGATAACAGGATTTATGACTTCTTTGTCGTATTGTCTGAATGTGGAATAAATGGGAGTGGGGCAGGGAGAGCAAGGGAGGCCATGCTGGAGCAGACCAAAGCTGTTTATCCATCATACTGTCCTCTACAGGGACGACAGTGGTGCTTAGGGAGAAAGCGTGGGAAACATGGGAAATGCGTATAGTTTCCATATATTGTCCCTGTTGCCTGCAGGCTAGGGAGTCCCCAGACAGGAGGCTGAACCCAGATCATTGTGTTCAGCACTTCTCTACGGAGTGATCTTCCAAGGATTTGCCTAACTGGTCTTTAACCTTTTATTCTTCCTGGCATCCTCTGGCAATAAATTTCTTGATCATAATTATGTGCTCTACTTCTGGACCATTCTAATTCCTGTACTGTGAGAAACACTGAATAGTAATTGTCTGTTGTGAATGATGTGGAGAACCCTGGTTTTTAAAAACCTTTATCACATTTTTTTGTTCAAGCTGAAGAGTCTCTCCTACTGGAAAATCTGTTCTGTCCTCATATTCTTGCCTTCCTTCTCTATAATTCTGTTATTCCTGCATCTCTTCTCTATAATTCTGATACTTTTCAAGGAAATGCAATGGTGTGGCACATGATTCAAGCTGCTGTGTGCGTTCCAGAGATCCAGTCAGTGCCATAACCTTTCTGCCTGTTTGGTTCTCAATGTCTTTATATCTACTAAGTCTTTCCTTTTTTTCATGGTTTTTGAGCTTTAAGGTGGTATTTTCAGAGATTCTTCTTCAGTGATGTGTTGCATCCTAACTTGGAGTCATTGCTGTCTGTGTATGAACGCGCAAACCGGGCCGGATGCGGACGCACCTATGACATAGCTTGGCCCAGGATGTGGGTTGCCAGGGTCACTGTTGGTACCCTGACAGTTCACTATTTTTTGTTGAAACTTTGTATTTTTTTTCCTTTAGGCTCATTTGTGAATGCCATCTGGTCCTTAGCACTCTATTCCTGCTAATTTTAACGATTTGTTTTCAAACCTCTTATTATAAGATCTAGGTAGGAAGCCTCCATAAATTTCTCATTAGTGGGCATTGGTTAAAATAACTTTCTGCTTTTCTGCCGTCTGTTTCTCTTTCTTAGGTTCATATATCATGTCTGGATAATTGGAGGTTTTCATTAGAAGCAGGCATCCTACCAGAGAGTTAACATATTTGGAAAAGACTTTATTTGTTCTTTCAGCCATAGGAATAGGAATGGGGATTTACATTGGGAAACAACAGAACCAGAGACTACAGAGCAGGCAACTCAGATGTGGTGAAGAAATGTTTCCTTTCACTTTGTGTCTTGACTGCAGAATTTTATTTATAGACCATATTCAACAACAGTTCAAATTTCCTTATCAATGTGCATGGTGTGTACTTGAGGAACTAGAGACAGGTTAAACTATATTTTTAGGTGCTTTCTGCTGAGACTGCTGAAAGATAGTCATAGAGTTACAGGTTTTGGAAGTTCTAAAATTTGCATTAAAAAACCCCCACCTCTGTCTAGGTGAAGAACAAATGTGCATCTCTGAGAGACGACGTGCCTTGTCAAGGATCTTTTATGGCCCTGCTGGGTCCTTCAGTCAGCCCAATTTGTTTTCTACGCCAGATATGCAGTTGGAAAACATAGCTGGCTTCTCAAGACCCTGCCCTCCCACCTTCAAGGAGCTGTTTCTGGACTCTGGATTGTTGTCTCCAGTTGCACAAAGCCCGTATGCCAGCCAGATTCCTCGTCTAGAAACCACCCTTAGTGAAGCCATTAAGGGGATGTTCCCATCCAGGGAACTGGCTCAAGTGGCACTGCAATTTACTGCCAATCCAAAGCGTTTCCAAGAAAACCTCTTTGGAAGAAGGTTCTTGAAGAATTTGATCCAGTTTAACTTCACAGGGGCACTTGGCACTAGTGGGAAATACAGCATTGGCCAGTTTTTCCCACAGGATGATGTGGCACAGAGGGATAATGGCCAAGGCCTTCTGGAATCAGCTGAGGCATTTTCATTGGAGGTTTCAAAGGGGAGCTCCATTTTGAGTAAGCCTCTTGTAGACAGCTTTGGCCGCACAGTAACTCTACAGGACAATCAGAATATGATGAAATTCCTTTCCTCTGTCCTGGAACTACCAGAGTTCTTTACTTTTCTTCAACAAGTGATTTCTGTCCCGAAAAGCATTGCTGAAGATTTAGGTGAAGTTGTGAAATTAGCATTGAGATCCAAAGACTGTGGTGAGGAGCCACGGGACCTGTTTGTTCCAACATGCACCAAGGAGGGGAGGTATGAGGAAGTTCAGTGCTATGCAGGGGAATGCTGGTGTTTGGACACTTCAGGTAAGGAAGTTCCAGGCTCAAGGGTTCAAGGCAAACGTCCAAGGTGTCCCACTGATTGTGAGAAGCAAAGGAGAAACCTGCAAAATTTGAAGCAAAGCCTCCCTGCGGGATCAGATCTTTTTATTCCGTCTTGTACGGAGGATGGAGACTTTCTGCCACTCCAGTGTTATGGGACAAATTGCTTCTGTGTTGATTTGAATGGCAAGACTATTCCAGGAATAAGGGGAAAAGCTGGAAAGTCGATGCAATGTAAGTCCTAGGGGCTGGGACTTTAAAGATGCTTCCTTATTGTGTTGGAATTTCATGATTCTTTCTTCATATCTGATTATATCTGGAAATGTATGGATGATGCATGTAAACAATATTGTCCCCTAACAGGAAAGTGAGTCAGCCCTTCAGTTGCAGGGGAATAGTGGGAAACACAGTGCACATAAACCTTGATATCCTAAGTCTTAAAGATGGTCCCCTCTTCTTTCAGTGGGTTCGGGTATGCACACTCAAAACAGAGGAGCCTGAGGTCTTGCCTTGTTAACGAGTGTGTCATTAGCATCTGTCTCTGCTTAAGTGTGTAGCCAGTGTGTATAACATCCATCATGCCCATAAGACCTGGAGCATCCGTGTAACTGAATGTGACCCATGCCAAGTGAAAAAACCCTTTTACTTCCAGTACCAAGTCACCTGGTCACAGTCACTGGCTCATCACTTGGTAGGATGTCACAGGAGTCCAAGCGTAGGAGAGGGTTCTCATAAAGGTCATGCAGTCAGGCCAGAAAAGTGAGTCACAAATGACTTGTCAGACATCAGTTTGGTTGTTGCGTCTTGCTTATAGACTATGAACTGCCTCTTCTGCCCTTCTAGTAATGTAATACTGAAAATGGCACATCAACAGGGAGAGCAGACCAAGAGAAGAACCTGCTTCTTATTTTGGAAGGAATAGCAGAGTATCCAGCAGATGATAGCAGGACATAGTGAAGGAGCTCCTTTGAATATCAGTTTGCAGAAGTAGTGGGAAATGTATTGCAATGATCTGAATTGCTAGAGGATTTATATCTAGCAACCCATCTGTAGTGCAGTCAAAAATAAACAGGTTGATAATTCTTTGGTGCTGGAAAGGAGATGAGCTCCTGTGTTTTGCTGGGTTTGCAGAGCTGCTTGCGGGCTGGACCAGATGACTTTTAAAGGTCCCTTCCAGCCCAAACTATTCTATGATTCTGTGAAAATGAAATTTGGCTCTGGAGATGACAGAAAAAGCTTCCAAAACAAACTCACTCCACCATTTTGAAGGATGATATTTTTATATTCAGCTGCAATATTCAGTAGAGAACAGGAAGAGAGGACAACAGAATCTGAAAATTCTGGTTAGGTCCAGGGGGAAATAAAGTCAGTATTATCCTACTATTCAGATACTTGCTTTTGCAGGGATTGGCTCAATAAGAATTAACTACCAGATTATCAAGTATATCTGAAAATACCTAGTTGGTATGAACAGAATCAGGAAAGCATTTAGTGGCATCAAGCACCTATCCTCCCCAGGAAGAAATACAGGCACCTAATGTGCTCAAATATTTGAAAAAAAAAAAAAAAAAATCTCTATATGCATCTTTCAGTGCTTACATGCCTTTGGAAATCTTACCCTCGTTCAGCAAGGAGGCTTAATAGCATTGGCCCTCTTAATAGCAGGCCAGAAATGTTGTTGTTAGTATTGGGATAAGTGGCCAAGTTTTAGTAAGGGTGTTTATCGTACTGGGAGGGCGGGGGTACTGTCTATCTTCGGTGCATTCGTGAGACGTGCTGTGCATGTTTTTCTTTTCACCAGGCCCAAGCGCTTGTCAAGTAACAGCTGGTCAGGAGTTTCTAAAGGTTGTGAAACTCCTGCTGTCAGACCCCAGTGCTCTGTCCCAGCTCTCCAGCATTCACCTCCCGCAGTGTGATGCTGGCGGTGCCTGGAGGCAGGTGCAGTGCAGTGGACCTTCTGAGCAAGCCTTTGAGTGGTACAGAAGGTGGATTGCAGAGAACAACGAAGGCAAAACCCTGCCCATTGGTAATCTGTTGAACATCATAACTGGATACAAAGAGGTGTCTTCCAAAGGCTTCTCAGCTTTTATTAAAGCTTTGTATGAGGCTGGGCACCAGAATGTCTTCCCAGCATTCACCAGGTATTCCTCCTTTGCTGATGTCCCACCTGAAGTGCTGGAAGGAAATGTGACCTCTGCATCTGAGAACATTTTACTGGATCCGTATATATTCTGGCAGCTTCTGAATGAGCAGTTGGCCTATTACCCAGGACCCTATACTGACTTCAGCGCTCCATTAAGCCACTTTGAACTTCGTGATTGTTGGTGTGTTGATAGCAAAGGAGAAGAGCTGCAAGGAACAAGGGCAGAAGTGAACCAGGTCCCAACATGTAAGTATCAGAATTTCTGGCACATAAGTATCAGTGTTTCTGGTCTTTGCTTCTATGCCACAAGAGGAAAGTCCTTTCAAGTGCTGTGAGGTAGGAGACAATGACTTGTCAGAAACATCATGAATATTGCCATTGTCACTGGCCGCCAGAGGTGGGGTAACTAATTCTTCGCAAATAAGTCGTCTCTTAGCTTTGGGAATAAGGAGCAATAAAGTTCCATATCAAGTTTGTTTATATTTTATAATTTGGAATTTGGACATACAATGCTTTTGCAGAAAATGCTTAGCCAGATGACAAAGGACACCTTTAAAGTTAGAAACAGTGTGTGAAGGGTTGTATGGAAGATTCACAATTACACTGTGTTGTAAATGACTTTCAAGAATGCCTTAAAAGGAGGCAAGAGGAATTTTCTTTACTGTTTCTTACTATGCAGTCAAGAGTAACAGCTATCCCCTAGAAGTCACTAGGAGGAAAGAGAGGCCAGCACTGAAGTTTGGTAAGCCCTCTGTCTAGACATCTCCACCAAAGCTGTTGGGCCCTCTTTGGGGTTACTTCAGCAGATGACCTATGTTATAAATGTTGTCACTAAAACCATTCCTATGGACCTGGATGCCAGGTGCCCACCAAAGCTGCTCTATCACTCCCTTTCTCGGCTGGACAGGGGAGAGAAAATATAGCAAAAGGCTCGTGGGTGGAGAGAAGGACAGGGAGAGGTCAGTCAGCGATTACCGTCATGGGCAAAACAGACT